CTGTTCTCTGAGACAACTTACACAATAGCCCTGCCCTCCAGACTCTAGGTATTGGCCACAGTCTCCAGATTCTGAGTGGAGGCCCCTCAGCCCTGGCCTTCAGCTCTGCCTTCCAGGCCCACTGGGACAGCAACTCTGCTCCCTTGGCTTCAGGCGCACCATTCTCCTAGTCCATCGGAGTGATCACTCCACCCTTAGAAACACCAGGGGCCATGGCTCCACCCTTTGAAACCCCAGAGGTCTCAGCCATACCTTTTGAGACGGAGGCAGCTTGGCTTCTTGTGTTCCTTGTCTCTTCAGCTTCTGCTTCCTGTGGCCTCTTGGCCTTCGGACCTCATGCCTGCATCTGCCTTACTGGGGCAAGTGTTCCAAAGCTCAGTAGCTCCACTGATTAAATGCCTGGGGGCACCCCACTCTGCCAGGAAGCCTCCTGCACACAGGCGCTCAGCTCCCTCGCTCTGTGGGTCAGCAAGCCTAACTCCACTGATAAATGCCCGAAGGCACCCCACTCCGCCAGGAAGCCTCCGGCGCACAGGGACTCAGCTCTCTCGCTCCCTGGGTCGGTTCCAGCGCCGTCTCGCACTGGTCTCCTCATTCTGCTGCTGTTGGTTTTCTGCCACTGCCCCTTCTCTCCCGCTGCAGGTTCTCTGCTGTTGCTGGTCCTCTGCCACTGCAGTGCCTCTATCCATTCACAGTTTCAAAACCGTTCCCACATTTTAGGTATCTGTTAGAGCAGCACCCCACTCCCGGTACCAAATTCTGTCTCAGTCATCTGGTGCTGCTCTAACAGGAATACCACAAGTGGGTGGATTTAGCAAAGAGAAGTTTATTCTCTCACAGTCCAGTAGGCTACAAGTCCAAATGCAGGGCTTCAGCTCCAGGGGAACACTTGCACCATCGGCTCTGGAGGAAGGTCCGTGTCATCAGTCTTCCCTTGGTCTGGGAGCTTCTCTGCGCAGGAACCTCAGGTCCAAAGGACATGCTCTGCTCCCAGCACTGCTTTCTTGGTGGTACGAGGTTCCTTATGTGTCTCTGCTCACTTCTGTCTTTTATATCTCAAAAGAGATTGCATTAAGACACTGATCTTGTCAACCTCATCAGTATAACCACATCACAGTGATAGAATTCACAACACATGAGAAGATCACATATAATCTCATCATAGTGGTAGAGTTTACAGCACATATAAGGACATCACATCAGATAACACAATCATACAATGCTAGGAATCATGACCTAGCCAAGTTGCTACACACATTTTTTTGGGGGACAAAATTCAATCCATGACACTGCCCCTCCCTGGAGAGACATGTACTTCCTCAGTCATTGACTTCAGGCTAGGCCATGTGTCTTGTGGTACCCTCTTCTTACAAGAAAATCATGTAACTCTGCCCCTTTGAATTGAAGAGTGGTGATATGACTTGCTGTAGTCAATGAAATGTGGTAGAAACGACATGTTTGAGCAGTAGCTTTGAGAACCAGTTTGTGGTTCACATGGAGCAGAGCCACAATTGACCCATAATGGATAAGTAACATGAGCAAGAATTAAACTTTAGTTCTTATAAACCACTGAGATTTTGGGATCATTACTGCAGCCTGTCTTGACTGATACAGTGTGGGCAACCTGGGCTGTATCTCTTGTAAGCATTCTAGAAATTTCCCAGACTCTCTTATCCTTTCTTTTCTCCTGAGGGATTAGAAATTGGCCTGCTGCTTTCTCTTTCTATTGAATCTTCACTTTCCTCTCCCTCTGCTCTGTGAGAGCAGTAAACTTCCCTGCCCCCTCCTTTTGGCCAGTGGACAATGAGTGAACTTGACTTTCAGCACACATAAGCAAAGCTGGAAATGTACCTGCATGGTTTGACTTGGCCACTTGTGCAGCTCCCATCCACCTTAAGAGCACACCTCAGGTGGCTTTTGCTTCTGCAGCTTGTCCTGTAATGAGAGGCAAGTGGAATGACCTGGATCTAAGCTGCAGCCTCGAGGTGAACCTAGCTGAGCCACAACTATTCACAGACCCATGAGCAAGATACCCATGTTGCTATTGTAAACCACAAAGATTTGGGACTGTTCATCACTTCAACAAAAGATGGCCAATATAGACAGGGACCATGTGTCCTCATTTTTGTGTCCCTAGCACCTAGCGCAGGCTCAGTAGACACTTAAGACATTTGTGCGCCTGAACTGAGCCCTTCTCCTTTCCTGATCTTCAGTCTTACAGCCATAACTTTGAAGGAAGGGACTTTTTGAGTTGTTAATCATTTTATTGCCCTCAGTAGGGAAATTGCCTGGGATTAAAGGTGGTCTTCTGGTGCAGTGGTTAAATGCTCAGCCACTAAGCAAAAAGTCAGCGGTTCGAACCCACCAGCTGCTCTGTGGGAGAAAGATGTGGCAGTCTGCTTCCGTAAAGATTTACAGACTTGGAAACCCTATGGGGCAGTACTCCTCTGTCCTGTAGGATCACTATATGTCAGAATTGACTTGATGGCAATAGGTTTGGTTTGGTTTTTATTTCAGAACTAGGTGCTTTAGTCTCTGTTCCACCTGCCAGAATGGGAGAGAATCAGGAGCCTGGCGTGGTGCTGGGTCATGGGGAAGAGCAGGTTCCATGCCCAAAGAGCAGCACCAAGGGATGGCTCAAATAAGATTTACACCTCCTTCATCTCTACTGTCCTAAATTAATAATGAAATCTAAGGAAAATGATTGACTTGCTTTGTAAACACCACTTCAAGAAAGTCCTCTTCTTCCCTCTATCTACCTGGAATATAAATGCCTCTTTTGTACAGAATCCACTTGACGGCAGCAGGTTTGGTTTCTAGTCCCTGTGCCACCTAGTTCTGCTCTCTGGCAGTAATCGAAGTTTACAGTTCCAGTGTATCATTCCAGAGAGAGCCTACATACATACGCGCAAGTACACGTGTATATTTCTCCCCTTTTTTGGACATGTTATCAGATGGGACCAGTCCCTAGAGAAGGACATCATGCTTGGTAAATTAGAGGATCAGTGAAAAAGAGGAAGACCCTCAATGAGATAAATTGACACAGTGGCTAGAACAGTGGGATCAAACATAACAACGATTGTAAGGATGGCGCAGGACTGGGCAATGTTTTGTTCTGTTGTACATAGGGTCACTATGAGTCAGAACCGACTCGAGGGCACCTAACAACAACAACAGCAACAAAAAATGGTAACATACTACACATACTTAGATCTTCTTTAACTGAAAATATATTTTTAAAATATTTCCATATCTATATATGAAAAGTTCACTCATTTTTAATGGCCATTTATTCTTCCATTGTTTAGATGTACCATGATTTATTTGACCAGCCCTCAACTGATGGCCACTTAGCAGTATTTTCCTGTACAAATGACGCTGCAAGTCATTTGCCCCACAGAAGAATATATATCTAGGAAAGAATCTTAGACATGGAATTTGTGGGTCCTTAGTAGTTTGGGAGGATATTCCCAAATTATTTCCACAGAGAATGTACTGATTTATACTCCCATTAGCAATATATGTGAGTACTTATTTAGTTATCCTATGTTACATGGGTCAGGGACAGCCCTTTTAAGAAGATTGTACTAAAGGGTGAGAAAGAGCTAAGTATGTGAAGAGGGAGGGAAATTGGGGGAAAAGGGAGTTGCATGAGCAAAGGCCATGAGGTTTGCAAGAGCTTAGCTGGTCAATGATCCAAAAGATCATTGTGTCTAGAGAGCTGCCCTGTTCAATATGGTAGCCCCTGGCCACATATGGCTCTATTGCTCAAATAATACTTGTGTCTCTACTTGAACTACTGTGTCATACTATGAAGAGGTTTGGTACCCTGTGCAAATGTATTGGACAGGGGAGGCTAACTGTTGTAATAAACAAGTCCAAAAATTAGTGATTAAAGACAGTGGTTATTTATTGCTCACAACACAGTCCACGCTGGTTTGGAGGGGGCTGGGAGGTGAGCAGTGGGAGGAACCTTTGTGTTCTATGCAGTCATTCAAGGACCCAGGCTGCTTCCATCTGGTGGTTCCACCCTCCTCTACATCCACAGAGTCTCTCCATTCATTTGGCAGATGGGAAAAGAGAAAGTCAAGAAGGCACATATGCTCTTAATGGCCTTGGCCCATGAATGACACCTGTCACTTTGCTAACATTTTACTCACAAGCCCTCGTCACTTGACCCCATCTGGAAGGAGGAGGCCTGGGAAACGTGGTCTTACTGTGTGCCCAAGACCAGGAGAACATGGATATTAGAGCCCTAGCAGACTCTGACGCACACCTTGTATGGTGCCTGGGCAGTCTTTCCTCAGCAATAATGCACAAGCTAGTCAGTTTTCTTCCAAATGTGTGCAGACCTTATGCTTCTGAGCTCAGAGGTTTATTTTCTATACTGTAGACACCATTGAGTTGTACATTGACCTTACTGGTTTTATACTGGCTTTGTACTTCAGTTATGTTTTTTGGTGTGAGTCTGTTTTCCCCCAGGTCATGAAGGCCTACTTACTCCTAAAATATTACTGGTGTTTGCCCATATGATTATATTTTAATGGCATTTTACTCTTTGTTATTTCACTCTCTAACACATTTGATCTTCACAGTAACCCTGTAAGGTAGGTACTATTATTGTCTCCATTTTAGAGGTGAGGAATCCAAGAAGTGGAGGGTGAAATTACTTCCCTAGCAAGTGAGCAGCACAGCTAGATCCACACTAGGGTCCATGCTCTAAATCATCACATTACACAACATTCCTTTCTGGACCAGAATGGGGACAACTGTCTCTCCCATCTTTATCTCTGTCCACCTTCTTCCCTCCTCATGGAAGAGCATGTTTGCTCCCCTCCCAGACTCTGGTTGGGTCTACTGCATGTAGAAAATCTTTTCTCCCACTGATTTACATGATGGCTCTGTAAAAATAAAACAGGAGAACTATTGGGATTAAATTAATATGCAGTTTTAAGTATAATTACATGAGATTAAAGAAATAAGAGTGAAAGACTTAAAGACATTTCAGGGAACCCCAAATATTCCTTTTTTGTTTGGGATGTACAGAGAAGACAAAAGTTTTCAGAAATTACTAGGCACAGTCTCAACAAGTTCTTGCTGTGCACTTGTGTTGGAGCCTACACTAACTGTTTATTTTCTTTGTGTGAAGCTTTGCTTTTTTTCTGTGTATTTTAAGAACTCGTGTTTTGCAACTGCTGAATGCAAATAACAATTTTACTAGCCAAGCTGGTGGTTTTCTGGCACATTGTAAACCTAATCTTTAGGCATGGAGACTTGGTTAAATGCACCAAGATTTCATTACTCATAGAAATAACAAAAGCATCCCAGAGATTATTAACAGATACAACCAAAGAGCAGTTTACTGTAGAAAATACTTTAAAGTCTCTAATATCTACACAGCCTAGAATTAGAATTTCTAGTTTGATATATGCTGAGATCAACCCCTAGATTTTATTTTTAAGCTGTCTTCACCACTCTCTACTTTCTCCCTGTTTAGGTTTTACTTGTGCTGATTTTGACCTGAGTTCCATGATGGTTTGTTCTTGGGACCAGACATGACCAGAACTTGACCTCATGAGCACATCAACCTCTCCAGCTGCCATGCTTCTCCGGAGGCTGAGGCGACTCTCCTGGGGCAGCACTGCTGTCCAGCTCTTCATCCTAACAGTAGTGACATTTGGCCTGCTGGCCCCTCTGGCCTGTCACCGGCTTCTGCACTCTTACTTCTATTTACGCCATTGGCATCTGAACCAAATGAGCCAAGAGTTCCTGCAGCAAAGCTTGAAAGAGGGAGAGGCTGCCCTCCACTACTTTGAGGAGCTGCCTTCTGCCAATGGCTCAGTGCCCATTGTCTGGCAGGCCACCCCCCGCCCCTGGCTGGTGATCACCATCGTCACTGTGGACAGGCAACCTGGCTTCCACTATGTCTTGCAGGTTGTATCCCGGTTCCACCAGCTTCTTCAACAATGCGGCCCCCAGTGCGAGGGGCACCAACTCTTCCTGTGCAATGTGGAGCGTAGTGTGAGCCACATTGATGCCAAGCTGCTATCCAAGTACGTCCCTGTGGCCAACCGCTATGAGGGCACTGAGGATGATTATGGTGATGACCCTTCTACCAACTCCTTTGAGAAAGAGAAGCAGGACTATGCCTATTGCCTGGAATCATCCCTGCAGACCTACAATCCAGACTACGTCCTGATGGTGGAAGATGATGCTGTTCCGGAAGAGCAGATCTTCCCCGTCTTGGAGCACCTTCTGCGGGCTCGCTTGTCTGAGCCGCACCTCAGAGATGCACTTTATCTAAAGCTCTATCATCCTGAGAGGCTCCAACACTACCTCAACCCAGAGCCCATGCGGATCCTGGAGTGGGTTGGTGTGGGCATGTTGCTGGGGCCCTTACTAACCTGGATATACACGAGGTTTGCCAGCCGTCCAGGGTTTAGCTGGCCTGTGATGCTCTTCTTCTCCCTGTATAGCATGGGTCTTGTTGAACTCATTGGGCGGCACTATTTCCTGGAACTACGGCGGCTGAGTCCTTCCCTGTACAGTGTGGTTCCTGCTTCGCAGTGCTGCACCCCAGCCATGCTCTTCCCTGCCCCTGCAGCCCGCCGGACCCTCACCTATCTCTCCCAGGTGTACTGCCACCAGGGCTTTGGCAAGGACATGGCACTGTACTCGCTGTTGAGGGCCAAGGGAGAGCGGGCCTATGTGGTAGAGCCCAACCTTGTGAAGCACATTGGACTGTTTTCCAGCCTCCGGTACAACTTTCATCCCCGGCTGCTCTAGCAGGTCAAGAAATACCTTTCTAAAATTCCTGGGAAATTCAAATATTAAGCTATTTATTTGGACATGGTTGCTTGCATATATGTGATTGTTCAATGTTGGTAGGGATACAGGGACTGGGACATCTGAACAGCATATAAATCAAGGACCTCAGTTTGCCACAGGTCTGGACCTCCCTCCCTCCACACAGCCACACTGCCTCATGCAGTCTGACCCACCCAAAGAGGGTGCATTGAAATGCCAGTTACTTTCTCCAGTTGTTTTCACTCTGCTTTATGAAAGAGCTTATGACTGCCAAAAATCTTGTGCACAGTGATGTGACTGTTATAGGATCTTAAGGATAGAGTTTGGTGAAAGATAAGAATATATGTCCATAAAGGCAGGCCCATGTTGATAGATTCCATTATTTCTTTGACCTGGTGTAATAAAAAACTATGATAAAAGCTGTGTAGTGCCCAGCATGTTTGGGTCAGATGAGCTGCCTTCTTTTACCTGGCATTTTCTTTTCCCACACATTTTACGGTATACTGATAACTGACATTGTTAGTGAGAACTTTTAAGGCACAGGAAGATCTGGAAGTACCTTCTGAATCATCAGAGTCAGATTGTGACTATGTTCTGTAGTGATTTAATATTGAATAGTTCTGTCATATTCCGATTCTTTGAAAATGGGACATTTCAGAATGATATGGCATGGACGAGCCCTTTACTAATAGCATATCCTTTTCCCTAACTTTGCTGGCTAACAGTTCACCCTCTTTTCTTTTTATTCTAGGTAGCATGAGACTATAAAGGAAAAGTATGGACTGTGAAGTTAGAAGACCTTATTTTTTCTTTCAGATCTGCCATGGTCTGGTGGTGTGACCTTGGGCAAGTCATACAACCACTCTGGGTCTCAGTTTCATTACCTGTGAAATAGGGACAGTAATGCCTATCTTTCAGAGTTGGCTTGAGGAGTAAATGACAGAACGTATGTAAAACACCTAGCAAGTGCTTGGTCCCTAGAAGGCACTTGGCAAATGTTAGTTCTTTTCTCTCCTATTATAAACATATTAAATATAAGTGTACTTTGGATAAAGATGTTAGTAATGTTTTTTAAAGTACGAGATCAGGCACAGGGCTGACACCTATGTAGCCGCTGTTCCAGACCAAACACTGCTAGAATAAAGGCTGACTTTTCATTGTGACTTCTTAAGGATATGCAGCTCAGCTTTTATCTGACCCCACCTTGAAACCAAGCCACAAATAAGAATTATTCCTTCCAACTAAAAATGATCCCAGTCTCCTCTTGAGCTCATTCCAAGACTACCCAGAAAAACAAACCCACTCTCATCGAGTTGATTCTGACTCATAGCGACCCCATAGTGTTTCCAAGGCTGTAAATCTTTACAGAAGCAGACTGCCACATCTTTCTCCCACGGAGCGGCTGGTGGGTTCAAACTGCGAACCTTTCAGTTAGCCCAGCAAATTCCAAGACTACCTCTTGAAAATTCCTTTCCTCAAAAATTAGAAATAAATGTCCTTTGACAGTATTTATCAAACTAGTGGGCAGCAAGTCCCTTATGAGGATGGATGATTATATTAGAGAGTTCAAGCAGTTGTCCAGTTTGTTTCAATGCCACATCTTTCAGTTGCTTTCAGATTTTTCACAGCAAGCTTCTGTCTTGGGATCTGCTCAAGAACACTGAGGGAGTTTACGTGGAGGTTTATCACCCACATTTTTCAAATAAAGAATTGAGGCCCAGAGAAGTTAAATGGCTTCTCCGGGTTCTAACATCTGAACAGCAACTGAGCCAGGACTGGAATGTAGCTTTTCTGACTCCCAGTCTCTGCTCTTTTTTTTCTAAACCACGTTAGTTCTATAAATATCTAAATGATTAAAGTCTGCTTTGTAAAATCTGATAGTAACCTGGACTGAATGTGTCTGTAAGCAAAGATGGTAGAAACCCATTGTCGTGTTTGTCCTGGGGAATGAACAGGTATAAATCTGTGTTGTGTTGTTACTGTAAACTGTTCTGTATCCCATGGCAACGTCCGCACTGGTCTGAGCTACTGGATGACTTACCAAGATGTTCAGCTCATCCTCCTGCTGCTTTATTCCTCCTTTCCCAGTAACTAGTCCACCCCCGAGTTTTAGAACTGAGATCATTAGAGTTTGTTGCATTTATGATCGATTGGGTCTCCTCATACAAGTTTTTTGACCAATAATAGAGCCATGTCTAAGCTAGTCAGGCCCAAGATAGAGAATAATTGCTGGTTTACATTTCTGTTCTTCTTTCCAGTTCGGGTGTTTACTGCATGCAGACACACCCTCCCCTGGCTCCTCCACTCTGGGTGGTTAAGGCCATCTTTTCCTTGTCCTATTTCTGTATTAGGCACTAAGATGTCTTCCCCAGTTACCGTGACCAGGGTCTGCTGTCCTTTGACATTTTCTGCAGATGCAGGCTCAGTTCGCCCTTTTATCCCTGCTCACTCCTAGCTCTGCCTCCTTTTGCCCCTCATTCCTTGAGTCTTAATTTTTGTATGTTGTCCTGGTTAAGGGCAACTGACAGCTTTACACCAAAGCTGAAGTCTCTCGTTTAATCCTAAGCAAGGGGCCTTGAAGAGAACTAAGATCCCCTTCCTTAGGTTACTGGGAGGGCTAAGTCTCTCAGTCCTGGTCATCTCTCTGAGTTTAAATAATCATCAGGCCTAAGAAGCTCCCTACTGTGACTCAGTGTATTTGCATAAACATATCAGTTAAAATAAAAGCACTCGTTCCACTGAGATTTTCTGAGAAGACTTATCGTTCTCTCTTGTTTCTGTGGTTGTATTTTCCTGACGTGGCAAGCAGCATCAACCCACACACGGTTGTGGACTCCCAAGGTAGTCATTCAAAAGTACAGACTGCTGACTATACAGGCAACCACAGTCACAGGCCCCTGGGTCACAGCAGTGCCAGGGCTTAAGTCTTTTACTAGATGACATTCCACTATAACCAACTGGCGTGGGGCACATTTTTGGTCTTAACATACGGCAAGAGCATCGGTTTTGTAGAGTACTGAACTTGTTCACATTTAAACAAAGCTGTACAAACAAAACATCAAAAATCATGTTCCAGAGTAGTGATCCTAAAAGAGAGTTTCCAGTTCCTCCAATCCAGTTTTGGGAATTTTTGCCTCTCTGTCCTTGGTTGATACTAAATCATACAGTGTTTTGGCAACCCCCCCACCCCCACCCCTCAGCTTCATGGTCAGGCTCTGACCGTCTCACTCCTTACCAGCTAAACTTGAGGAGAGTTCATTGGTACAGTGTGGTGGTGGTTCCTCCACTGTCCTTCCTGTCTCTGGGTCTCAAAGTCCTCGAACAGGCTGCAGAGCTACCTTGTGTGGTGGTTGTGTCTAGGTGCTTCCTACTGGCAACACCTGAGCCTGAAAGAAAACCCAGCCTTCCTCCCTGCCCCAGGGTGTTGACCCCAGGCATCCAAGGCCCGACCTTCCCCTACACCTCCAACACACACTGGAAACAAAGTCACAATAACAACCAAGAAAAAGGGAGCTGGAAAAAGGTGCTGGAAAGTTCCTCTGCACTTGCAGTTTCTTCTGCCTGGAATGCATGTAAAAAACTTCATTTTACACAGACCAAAATTGTAGGTTAAAACCAACTCTCACTACCTTTCTATTTTCCCTTGCTGGTCCCATTTCTCTCCTTCCACTATTCCTCTGTGTGTCCTTTTACTCTCATTCGTTCATTTATTGCCTACTATCTGTCAGGACTATTGTAGGTGTGGGGTATATCCGTGAGTGAAACGAAGACCCCTGGCACTGTGGAACTTACATTTGAGGGCAGGGGATGATATAGAGAAAAAAATGCAAAATTAGGGAATTTCAGGTAAGTTTGAAAGGAATTAAACCAGATAAAGTGATAGGTGGGCTGGGGGGTAGGAATAAGAAGGACTGCTTTAGATAGGGTACAAAGTCTCTTCAAGGAGATCAAAATTAAGCTGAAACCTGACTTATAAAAAGGATTCAGCTTATCAGAGGCAGAGGGAATGGCAAGTGCAAAGGCCTTGCAGTAAGAACAAGGATAGCAAGTCCAAGGAACTGAAAGCAAGCCAGTGTGGTTCAGGCTTGGAGATGAGGATGGAGGTGGTAAGGCATGAGGTCAGAGAGTGTGGAGAGGCCAGATCACACAAGTCACCTGGGGGGTGGAGTAGGGGGTTGGATTTTATTCTAAATGCATGGGAAGTCAGTTCCTAGCAGGGTAATGAGTTGTTTTCCAGAGCCTTGACTATCCACTGCTTCTTCGCCTTCTCCATAGAATGGTCCTATAGAGATTTCATGGCAGTGGGGTACAGATAAAAGATTTACTACATACACGAGTTTGGGACATAAGAACAGGTAGGTGATAAATGTAGAGATCCTTCTCTTCACTAGGCTTGTTTGTCATCTTCCATCTTTCGGACATTTTTAAAAATTTTTATTTATTTTGTTGTTGAGAATATACACAGTAAAACATACACCAACAGTTTCTACCTGTACCGTTTAATGACATTGATTACATTCTTCAAATTGTGCAATCCTTCCCACCCTCCTTTTCTGAGTTGTTCCTCCCCCATTAACATAAACTCACTGCCTGCTAAGGTTCCTGTCTAATCTCTCAGTTGCTGTTGTCAATTTGATCCCACATAGATAGTTCTTAAAAGAGCATAATGCTCAAGGCAGACGTTTTTTACTAGTTAAACCATTGTTTGGTTTTAAGAAGATGTCAGGATTTTTTGGTTTAAGGTTTAAAGATTATCTCAGGGCAATAGTTTCAGGGGTTCATCCCACCTTCATGGCTCCAGGAAGTCTGAAGTTCATAAGAATTTGAAATCCTGTTGTCTTTCTGACATCTTCAAGCTACCCTATTCCTATGTACTTATGCCATCTGTTCCTCAGTTTTTTTTCTTAGGTAAATTCATTTGCCTTTGGATTTCTTGACTGTTTTTACCTCAAAATTATAAAGTAGTTGCTTTTTTGGAATCAGATCATTCTTCCATATTTCTTCCAGGAAAATTCGTTAAATTCTAAACCCAAAATACCCACTCATTGCAGAATGATGATTCACAACACTGTTGCAGGGTGGGGTGGCCCACAAGTCACAGCACATCCACATTGCAATCCTAAAATATTAGTTACCGTTTTGCCACCAAAACTGTTACATTTCCATCCATCTTTGAATAGTCCCAAAGGTTTTCCAGATAAAATCCAACTTAAAAATCCAGTGCCAGTTTATTAGCATTTCTCTGCAAATTCCACTGTAGTTGGGATAAAAACATCCAAAAGGTTCACGTGGCTTTGAATTACCCAGTTTTATATTATGTAGTGCTGTAACTCACAGTACATTGTGGTATGTATAAAAACCCCACAGTAATCAACTCCAGTTAGAATGCCTCTCCACCCAAATTAAGTTACCAATTAAATAAATCCTCCTAAATGAGGAGTGAATCTAAGATAAATTAATCCTATCAAATTTGTATTCTTCAGTGGCAACTGTAGTATTCTCACCATTTTTCCTTTAACAACTGAGACAATAAAAAAGAATGGGTAATTCAAATGATTCCATTTAGGAAAGACAACAAATTTTTGTCAATTTTTAATTTTTCAATAGTTACTAATTTTTAAGTGTACCAAAACAAAACCCAAAACCTGTCGTCATCGAGTCAATTCCGACTCACAGGGACCCTGTAAGACAGAGTAGAACTGCTCCATAGTGTTTACAAGGATATTATCTTTACAGAAGCAGACTGCCACATCTTTCTCCCAAGGAGTGGCTGGTGGGTTCAAACCACTGACCCACCTTTTGGTTAGCAGCTGAGCACTTACCCACTATGCCACCAGGGCCCCTTTTTTAAGTGAATAGCTGTATCTAATTTCCTATTGTGCTTTTTTCTCTAAACATCAGCCACTATTTTAACCTTTCTGGAAAAGAACTACACAGACTGAAGGTCTTTCAAAGCTTCCCTATTAATCAGGGCACACACACAGGTGGGATTCTCTTCCAAGTAGGGCAAGACATCCCTAAGAAAGCCAGCTCTCAAGTCAACAAGTCTGTGTAGATTTTTTTCTAGCAATGTTTTTGAGCAATTCCTTTTATCCTTTTCAGCTATCCCTCTCTCCAGCCCAGTACATCCAGAATCCACAGCCAGGTGGGCTTCTGCAAAATCATAGCCTCCCTCTAGCTTTCCCTCCTCTGAGGTTAGTGCTAAAGGAGGAAGGATTCCATCTTCCTGGAATAGACACATGGGGTACTCCCTCCTCTTTTGAATAAGAAAAAAAGAAAGACCTAACTTTCAAAAGTTCTAAGAATAGTATGTCTGTCTCACATTCAAAATCATGGTTCATGTATTATTCTGCAAGGAAATACATCAAAACAATAAGAAAATAAAATAATAAAATTAAATGTAAGTTTATCACCATTTTAATGAATACCTAAATCATATTAGCAATATACATTCAGATGACTCAAGTTTTTTGTTTTTGTGTTTTTTAAAATCTGGTTGAAATTTTAGCTGAAATGCCACAATCTTGCAGAAACACACTCCCATATTTGAAATAGGAAAGGATTTAAAGAGAGTAGAGTCACATTGGAAACCCTGGTGGTGTAGTGGTTATGAGCTATGGCTACTAACCAAAAGGTTGGCAGTTCAAAGCCACCAGCCACTCCTTGGAAACACTAGGGCAGTTCTACCCTGTCCTATAGGGTCACTGTGAGTGGGAATCATCTCCAGGGCAACAGGTTGGGTTTAGGTTGGTTATTCTCCGTGGTTGACTGCAAGTTAGCAGCCATCTATGGATCCAGTCTCCTGGAGCTCCCTGCAGTTATCACAGGATGACTATAGTTCACCCCTCACAAGTTGTGAGAGAACACACTTCTGAAGAGTTTTTAACTAAGGGCCACATATTTCTTCTCCTTATTCCCATCAGTGTTTCCGTATGGGTCCCCAGGCCTGAAAAACACCCATCCTTTACTTTTTAAAGTTCTTTTTATTTTTTTCTTAACCAAGCTACACGGAAACACTGCATTGGCCCAAATCCCCAGTCTGGCTCTAAAGGTAACTGGCTAAGCTGTTGTTGCACAATCGGTAGCATTCTCCCAAATGAGGAGTGTATCCAAGGTAAATTAAATTAATCCTATCAAATCTGTATTCTCCAATTGCACTGTAGTATTCTCACCATTTTTTTTTTCCCGTTTAACAACAGTGACAACAAAAAGAATGCATAATTCAAATGTTTCCATTTAGGAAACATAATAAAATCAGTTATCAATTTTTAAGTAAACAGGTCAGATCGTTGGGTTTCAGGAG